CTTTGCAGTGCAGGAATGTGTATGTGTCCCTGGAGCGTCCACTCCGCCTGAGAAGAGATTGGAGGGGGTGGGCCGTGGAGGTCAGGCCCTGCAGCAGCCAGGGGAAGGACCTGCAGCGCCAGGGTTAGGACACTGTTTGTAGCCCTGATTGGCCCGTGACACACGCTCCCTCAGAAGGTCCTACTGCTGGCGTGTAAAACGGGGCCAAGGCCTGTGGTCGTCACTGTGCCTTCTCTGTTGAGACATGAGATACATAAAAGCGGGACCCTATGAGGTGCTTACGGGAGGTTGCGAGGGAACTAAGAGGTGGTCACCACCAGGCCTTGTCACGACCAAATAGCCTGTCGTTGGGATTATGACCGCCTCCTCTCGGGTGCCCGGGAATCACGTGGTTGCGCCCCTCCCACGTGATGCCGAGCCATGGTGCTACTCCTTGCTGCAAACCGTTTCCAGTTCCTGGGTCATGCCGGGCTTTGCCGAGTGCCCCCTTGCAAGCAGGAGCAAATATTTAGACAGGAAAGCAGCTTTTGCTTGGTCCCCAAAGAAGGACTGAAAAGGAGCCTCCCCGCCATCGCACCCCCATGAGCATGCCTACCCCTTGGCACTTAGGGGGCCCCTCCGATTCCTCACCACTGCCCTGACCACTGTGTCTTCCTTCCATCCAGATCGTGGCCGCCATCCTCGCCATCGCTGGGATCGTGATGATGACCTACGCGGATGGCTTCCACAGCCACTCTGTCATCGGCATAGCCCTGGTGGTGGGCTCGGCATCCGTGTCCGCCCTCTACAAGGTAGACGTGGGGAGCAGGCTCTCTGGGCCCTCCTGGGAGGGAAGGGCAGGCCTCGGCGTGGCCGGCCCATTGCTTTGGGGGAGCCTGGGCTTGAAGGTGAGCTGTTGTTTCCCAGGAGCACCGGGCACACGAAGCCTCGCGGTGCTGAGACACACAGCAGTTCTTAGCCCTGGCTTTCAAGACCTTTCCGTCAATGGCCGCACATTTGCAGCATTTGGGATAAAACGGGTGGAACCATGGACTGGCTGAGTCCGATTGGTGACGTCCTTGTTGGGCAAGGACTGGAGGAGGATCCAGGGCCCTAACGGGCTGGCTCAGTGTTTGGTCAGATACTTTCCTACCAGATTGGACATGAAAATTTGAATATCTGGTACAGCTTTGAAATCTCTTATCACATGGTTTTTGAGCTCACCAGTATTCATCATGAATCCATATGCATTTCAAGCGTTGCCCGTAGACTGAATGAATAAAAGCACAACTACTATCATGTGGGGAATTATAAAACATTTTTGACAAAATGTTGGGAACTGTTGGGAGGCGTGGCCAGCTGCAAGTCCCGAGAGAACAATTTTTATCCCCACACTCGCCCCTCGCTCTCTCCCCTGCTCCATTATGCCTCTCAGCCACTCTCTCCCCAAAGTCAAGATCCAAAGTCAAGAATGCAAATATTCTGTGGTCTCCAGGGTTGGGAAACTGAACGGGAGGATTCAGTGAGAAATGAGATTTTAGCTTCGAGACTCATTGGCCCTTTGTGGATCCAGACGGTTGGACACAGAACATAAAGGATTGTAGAAAGTTCTAAGAAAAGGAACTTTTTTCCAGCACTGGGAGGAAGACACTTTTGGAAAGTGAAACATCTGTACCATCTTACCTTTCATCAGCTCCCTGGCTTCACCGCCCCACCACACACGGGCCATTTTCCTCCTCTGAGACACATCTCACTCAGAGGATGTGATAGTCTAGCCCCATTCTGGGACTCCAGAGCCATGGTCCAAATGCAGAAAACATTGAGAGGCCACACTCCACTCTCTTCAATGAGCTGCATGCTAACGGGAAGCCAAGAGCAGATAGAAACGCAATCCACGATGAACACAAATATTCTGATTTAGACTTATATTTCTATCTCCTACACTGCCTGATCTTTACCCAGAGAGGCCGGTAGGTGGAAGGGTGAAAGCAACTGACTGTATTTCCCTTTCCGTGCTTCCTGCCCAGAAATGCCCAGAGATACCTGAAAGAGATGTGAAATGGCTGGAAGAGGAAGGAGGAGGAAAGTAGGAAGGACAGCAAGGCAGAGACTGAAATAGGACCATCAGGTCCGTAACTGCGGACGGTTCAGTAAACACGGGGGCTGGACGGGGGCCTGCTGCCTCTGGGAGCTCAGCTTCCTGGCCTCTCCAGTCACCTTTGTCCCTCTCCTGGCTTTTCATGCATCTTGGATATGTACAAACAGGAACAGGTGCACGAAACCAAAGGCGGGTGTGTTCCGCTAAAACCCATGCCATGTCTGGAACAGGGGTGGTGAACTGGAGCAGGGAGCTGTGAGTGTTATAATCCCTCTCTCCCTTTGATTTATAGGAAATGTCTTTGCAGCCAAAGCCCTTCTGTTTGGGGGCAGTGGTTTTCAAACTCTGTTATTCAAGGTCAGAGATTAATGTTAGGGGTCCCCGAGAGGAATGTGTAATCGTGGCAGATACTTTTCTAATTTAAGTGGCTTCTAATTAATTTATGTGGCTTCCTCGTCTTCAGTGCTCTGAAGTGGGGATGTGGTGTCGTGAATACAGCACAGAGGAATGAAGCCTAGTGTGACAACCTGTGGTTTCTGAAGTTGCTCTCTGGGTACCTGGAGAGTAACTCTCCATCGTGTTGCTACTGGGCATAGGTAAAGCCCACCACCCTTCACGGAAGGCCATATGAGGTAGAATTTACCTGTCACATGGCTGTCGGTCCCGTGGTCCAGCCCCAGCTTGCCAAGTGCACTCGCTTCTCCGTGGCAAGTTGGAGTCTTAGGTGAGCCGTCACCCCTCCTCCTCTGCTCTCTCCGTCAGGTCCTGTTCAAGCTCCTCCTGGGCAGTGCTAAGTTTGGAGAAGCCGCCTTATTTCTGTCCATCTTGGGTGTGTTTAACATCCTCTTCATCACCTGTATTCCTGTCATCCTCTACTTGACCAAAGTGGAATACTGGAGCTCTTTCGATGACATTCCATGGGGAAACCTTTGTGGATTTTCGGTCCTCTTATTGAGTAAGTGGCGATCACCCTGTCAATCACCAGAAAGCAGGGACTGACAGAGCTGCATCGGGGCAGCTCAAGGGGAGTCTTTGGAAACCCGTGTCCTGAAGGAGAAAAATGAGTCTATTATTATCCTTAAGTTCTTCGTGCTTCTCTAGGTCATTGTGTCGCGAAAGGGAAAGCCTTTGAAATGGTGACACTGGATTCTAATTCCAGGACTACAGTCGCTGCAGTAGTGGCCATGGTCATTTGGTGCTCTGAGTAGTGAACTAGTAGCCCAGTATGCTGCGTGTTATCTACTAATAATAGTACATTTCTTATATAGGGCTGGTAAGAAGTTAGTAAATTAGTGCATGCAGAGAGCTCTTAGAACACTGCCTGATAATGTTCAGTAAATACTACCGATTATCATTAACATTAGTGTCATCATCACTCTTAGTTGATATAAGGCTGGTCCTAAGCAGGAAAGCAACCAAGGAGGTGCCTCATCCCATTTCCATCAAAAGCTGTACATACCACTTAAAAACGATTAGGATAATAAAATTTATGCTATATGTATTTTACCGCAGTTTAAAAAATTCAAAAAGAAAAAAAACTAAATTAAAATAAGTTTAAAAATAAAAACGTACATTCCAAAGCTCCTATTCATAGTCATCCCAGAATCATTGCCAGCAGCAGAGAAAAGCAAAGTTAGTAGGATACATAGGAGGGCCCCGATCCTCTTTTCTAGTGCCTGCTCGCTGGTTACCTTTTCCAAATTTCTTTTCCCTTCTTCAAAGCTCAGGAAAGAGAGGAGAGCTGAGTCAGCAGGATGTTTGGCCCTAATCCCCCAGTTCTGGAGCCCTTGCGGGAACCCGGAATTCACTGAGTCAGAGTAAAGGGCAAAACACCTACGACTCCAGCCTCATCAGAGAAGCTGGGGTCCGACGGACCAGGGGAAAGTCCAGGGCCAGTCGTGAATAACACCTGTTTTTTTTTTAATTCTGTATTTCAGCATTCAATATTGTATTAAATTTTGGAATTGCTGTTACATATCCCACTCTGATGTCTCTTGGAATCGTCCTCAGTGTACCTGTGAATGCAGGTAAACCTATATGGCTTTCTGTATCTGCTTGTAAACACACACACACGCAAACACACACAAACACGCATGTGCGCACACATACTCAGCGTATATTCTGGCTGTGTCTGCTACAGCAGGCATGTTTAACCTTCTCTGCAGAAAGAAAGCACTTCGGTAAAACGTTGATGTTTGTGACACATGCAGTATTTTCTCCAGGGCGGCTTGATTTTCACATACCACACCAAGATACAGAAAGTCTAAAGCCATCTCCATTCAAACTGGCGTGGGGGGCAGATGTATATCATGAATACTATTGATAAGTATAGACAAATATGTAGCAGAGGAAATTTTTACTTTTTGTTAAGTGGCTTTCCAGAAGAGACCGCTAGCTCAGGTTATGGCAGGCCTGAGGTAGAGGCATGTCTGCAAACTGCAGAAGCGTAAACACTGTTCCCCGAGTCCCAGAAGACAGCCCTTCCCCCAGCTGCTCAGGACCTGGCTCTTTCTTTCACTGGGGGCTCACCGACACACTCAGCTGGCAGCTCTTCCAAAGCCTGCCATCACCTGCCCCTCACCTCCTTCCTTTTCCTGGCTCCTTCTGCTATGAATTTCAGATTTTCCTCCCAGAACGCCCCCGCCTCACACCTGCCCTCCCTGTAGAACCTGCTTGTGAATCACTTCTCCCCAGAGCATTCACCCCCTTGGGCTTTGCACAGCTCCCGCCAAAGCCATCTCCCGACCCTCCCGCTTCTGGGCCCCCAGGGCATGGCAACCCCTTATCCTGTTCAGTCTGGCGTTAGTAAGCCTGGAAGCATAGGCAAAGCCGCACTCGACTTCCTAAACCTCTTCCTGCTGTCCCATTCCACACGTTCTGTATATGCCTCACCCTGGCCCCAGACTCCTTGGGCCCAGCACCATCCCTGCCCAGAGGGAGGATGGCGGTCCCCGCGCATCACCTCTCTGGGCCTTTGCTTGTCCCCTAAAAGTGAAGGTCGTCCCCACGTCATCACCTTGGTTGATACGAGAACCACATGAGATGACCTATGAGGCAGAACTTCCAAAGGCAGGAAAGCCCCTGAGCTCCTGGAAAACTGGTAAAAAAGTGGTCCAGCTTGTCAGTTTCCATACACTACAGGCTTCTGAAAAATAACGCATCAACTTACCCCCGCTGCATCTTGGTGTGTGTTTATAGTCCCACAGTGTTCTTATTTCAATGAGCCATATTCCAGGCGGCCCTGGTATAGAAGCTACTTTGACCGTATCATACAGCCGGGTGTGTGAGAGGTTACTCAGAATTCTCTTACTACTTACCTGCGACGTAAGAGGGTCCGTAACGTGTCAGGGGAAGGAATTTTCAGTTCTCCAGGGGAGGAGAGAAGCCGAGGAGTCGGCTGTTACCCGACTGTCAGAGCAGAGCCCTTGCTGGGCTTTCTGACTTTCCCTGACGCCCTCTCTAGTGCAGCTTGTATGGCTTGCTAATTGACTCTCCCCATCTGTGAATTAACAGGCCATGCTGCCAATATTAAAAATCAAACTGCTTCTGAATTAGAGTGAGATAAAAGCGGCACTTTAATCCCACAAAAGGGCTACTAACAAAGTGCCTTTTTTTTTTTTTTTTTTTTTT